CTAAACCACAACAAGGCTAAGCTACTGATAAACACAGTGCCAGAGAGGACATTCAAATCAGGTGATAATACTTCAACATTTTTGTTAGAAGAGTCTATTTTCCTTTCTCCAAAGAGAAAGACAACTTTAAAGTCATTTGACCTCCACAATACTGACAGTAAAGACTACCAGTAAGCTACAAACACAGGTTCCAGCAGAGATAATCTTCAAAGAGCTAGGATAAACTACAGTGATTTTATGGCATCTTGAATCAAAACAATCCTACTGTTTCTTGAAAAGGAGGAAGGATTTGAGACCTATAGAAGAAGATAGTGTTCCCTGTTCTGTTACACTGTTGTCTCTTCTCAAAGTGAAAGCTGATTTTTCCCAAATTGGTCAATGAATGAAAACATAATACACAGTGCAGTGGCAATGGCACTTCTCTATCACCAGCAACCATGCCAAGCATGAGACAATAGCTTTCTCTTAGCCTTCATTACAGTCCTCTCCCCTCTGTGTAACTACCAATTTTCTTTGTGTCATCCCTAAAAATGATTAATCCTTTCCTGATAATGCATGATTATGGAGAACTTTAATTAGCAGGCTGGTAGGCATTCTATGAACAACACCCCCCCTATCATTTTCATCTTGTATTAAATTACATTAATTGCAGTAATGTATGCATGTGATAGAGGTCTTCCTCACAATTCCTCTTGTCTTAGAGCCAAAAGGCATTAACCCTTTGTGGGGAACCTCACATCTCCCAAGGTGCATTGAGCCATCCAGGATCAGTTTATGGCTGAGGTCAGTTGATGGAGACTGACCATCTAATATAAAGGATGTGACGTTGCCGCTGTCTGCAAGAGCAGGGACTTGAATCCCAGGATCCAGAATATCTTTGCCAGTTCTGTTTGTTCAAGCAGAAGTCTCAGAGACTTCACAGATTTTTTAGGAGAGTTGTGACACTATAACCAACCCTGCTACTCAGAGTACCAAAGCACAAGTTAGCCTGTAGCAGAAATGGTTGCACGTCCTTTCTTCCCCCATCAACAACCTCACTAGAACACAAGTTTTAAGAGTGCTGGCAGGTTAAACTGGGGAGAAAGGGAAGGAGTCATTGAAGACAAGGTGCATCTATTTAAAATGGAAATACTAAAGCACTACACAGCTGACTACAGTGGTAGCTGTTGATAAGGCTTCAGAGAAGAAGGAGCTATCACCTGAAAATGTACTTCAGTGTTTTACTAGATCAATGTCATTCAGCCTTGCACCATACTTGTCTAAGCCCCACTAGAGAAACAGGAATAAATTGCTTTCTGCAGACAAAACTTGTAATATTTTACCATTTTCTCTATGCAATTGAATTTTATCCAGATGAGAAAACTCTATCCTCAATTAAATTTATCTAAAAAGTAGCAAACCCCTTCCATCCAGATCTTACTTCCATTTATCTTAGAGGGAATCACTGGTAGTGCCTGTTCTGGTTTATGAGGGGAGACAGAAGTGTAAGCCCATATCTTATGATGAAGATGACAGTAGGAGTGACCTTGCTCCAGCACATACTGCTTTTTTGACAGTGGCTAGAGGAGATAGATAACATAACAGCAGTCTGCAAAGCATCATAAGCATCATGTTTCCTTAGATCCAGCTACGGTAATTCAATCATAAGCATATAAAATTAGATGAAAAATAAGGTAACTAGCCTTCTGGGACTGAGCAATTGCAATAAATGTTGTCTCTTGACAGTAAGCATTACATTGTCCTCTTGAAAGAGAGGTTACCTTTTATTACAGAATACTTCTCTCATTTCAGTCTGTGCCAGGTAGCACTGCTGTTAAGCACAGTCTGCAGAACAGCAAAAAATCCTTTAAGACAATTATATACTGTCTCTAAGGTACCAAAACAGTGAGTAGAAAACTTCCAACTCTCAACCTTTGGGAGCAAATGAGCAATGCCTGACCTTTCTTTCTTTCTTTCTTTTTTTTTTTTTTTTTTTTTTTTTTTTTTACGATATGTTTTCGCTTTCCATTGCCTTTCACTTAAGTATTACAGAGTACTTTGCATGCATCAGTTGCTTAACCAAATCTTCTAAACCTTGTCATCCATTTTAGGGTAGTTAAGCTGAGCCACAGTCATGTCTGTGTCTCTAAACTCAGAGATGTTTGCAACTGAAGATCACAAAGCAAGTTAATAAAAAGGATAGAGTGAAACAGGTATGGTGGAGGTTAGTCTCTAAGTATCAGTACAGAAATTGTTTTTAAACCACAAATACTTGCCCATGCATATGTCCTTTTGTAGGTAGTCACAGAATATACAGCGAGACCTGAGCTCTGGGTGCTTTCATAAATTGTAGATGGAGAAGAAAGCACCAAACGGCGATAGGTACTGTCTGCTGCTGTCTGGTCATTAACATTGACTCCAATTGTGATTTTCTGGGGAAAACAGAGGTGGGAACTCCTGGCAGAAGCCCTTGGGTAGCAGATATTGTAAGACTAACACTTGTCCACTCCAGTGGCCTGCTGCTGCTTTACCTCCTTGATTAACTGCAGAGTAAGCAGGGCTCCTTGATATATCCTCATACAAGCAGATTTTCCATCTATGAGTTATATGTGGATATGAAATAGGATTTTCTGCTAATCAAAAGGATATTAGAGTATGATTGCTTATGAGCAATAAAATAATACCCTGAGAAAATAAGGCAAGACCAAGCTCTAGCTAAGCAGCCTGAGAAGCTGTGGAAAATGAAGTGTCCTATTAGTAGATCCAAGTGATTCTCCAACAAACCACAACAGCTCTCCCCTAGTTGTATGACCATAGTCTGATGGGATGATTGCTTTTAAGCAGAAGCCTGCATTTCTGCCAGAACAGATGTCTCTGCTGACCTGACCCACATCAGCTATAACAGGAACCAAAAGGAGTTGTTTCTGCTGTAAATGTATTCATAGCAGATATCTGACATTAGATGGATCCTACATGAAAGGTGCTAAAAAGGAATGTTGTTCCTGTAAACTGCTTGAAAGCAAGTAAATTGAAAGACTTCCCACTTTCAGTTATGTAAATAGGGAATAACTCCATCAAATGTAATGGACTGATATTTTTATAAAATCATTGAAAATAGAAATCCTACCAAGATCTCTGTATTTTCTGATGCATACATACTTTCCAGAGGTGTCTGCGTGGGGACATTGACATTAGCCCCATAGTTCAAGCTGTGCTGTATTTGTGCTACTCTGAGATTACAGTTTAAGAATTTAGTCCTGTATAAAGAAAATTCAAACAAAGATATATTCCACAGATATAAACAAATCTAACTCTAATGACCTTACAATGGAGGTATTCTTTACAGCAGCTGAGAATCTGGCCCACAGTTTGTTGTGCAAAATCACTGTCTTGTGTACTTGGATTAATGTACACACTAATAGAACTCATTAATGTCTTCAGGTATCACTGCAGGTTTTTGGTAATGAAATATAATGTAATCCAAACATATCACCTCATAACTGTTGATAAGACCCTTTAGAAACCTTAATCTTGTTATTCCCAAACACTTTTAATTATGGTAAAGCAACAAAAAAGAAGTGCAAAGGAAATGGACACTGTCTCTAGTAACTACTGACAGCTTTTTGTGAAATGCAAACGAGGAAAAACATACAGTGTTTTTCTTTTAAAGGGACAAACTTCATAAACATAATGACACTACAGAATTGAATGTTTATTGGGAAATGACACTTCTCCTCCTATGTCTGCCGTAACTATAGATTCAGAGATTTACAGGTAGTCCGTTAAGTTAATTAGTCCACTGTGCTGTTAATGCTACTTCTCTGTACTGTATTTCCAGGTGTTTTTTAGAATATCTATAAATGTCCCCAGAATACAGTCCATGTTTCCTCCTTGGGGCAGAACATGTTTTTACAGATGTCCATGTCCAGATGTTTTGTTTGGTAATATATTAACCATTCTACTTCACCACTTTATCTTTATGATTATCATTATTTCCCAGTTTGCCATCTCAGACACTTCTTCTTTATCCTTGGCATTCACCACAGTTACTGGCACCAATGAATACGTGCCAAACAGACTGCTGATATTCAGCCCGGAGAGTACGTAGCTGCTTATGACAGCATACACTTTTCTTTATGTTATACACGTTTGTTTTCTCCTGAGCTGTTGAAAATGAGGCATTTCTTGCTGGCTTGCTGCTTTGCAATACTTGTTTTAGAGGGCATGCAGCCATTAGAGCAGCTTCAATCATAGCAGCGGACAATTGGTGTGCATGCACTGTGCGTGCAATTTAGGATAATTAAGCAGAATTAAATTACATAAGATTAAATGTTATGGAGTTCTGCATTTATTCTTAGCAGATCTGGAGAAAGCTGACTTTTACAACTCTTCTCCTGAAACGTTTTCTATCCTCACCCTTTTGGATACTCTAAGGCATTTTCAGTGAAATCTCTGTTGGACTTCTATATTACTCCAAATTAAGGTAAATTTATGATGATCAAGCAGTGAAACACTAGATATTCTGCATTCACATTGTCCATTAGGTAGCGTTCTTCAAACTGCCTTTTCTTCCCAAACTGTCTCTTCCTTGTAACTTACTTTGAATTCCCTTGTTCACAGTACTGCTACAAGTTGATGCATTTGGAACTCAGTCCCAGTCACCCACGGTTAATCCCACCTCGCTGGCTTCTCCCTCACAAACTTTCTGATGTTTTATGGCTTCTAGGTTTTGCTGTTACTTTAACTTAGGGATGCTTGGAGTGGCTAGAGGAATGTACCTCTATCTTCAATAGTCAGATATGCACAGAAAAAGCTTGCACACATCTGCTTTCTAGTTAAAAATAAAAATATACAGAAGAAAAAAAAATGTAAAGAGTAAAGCTTTAAAAGCAAAGTGACCCAGATACCTATGGCCAGTCTCTCAAAGCTGCCCACAGGTACACAGGATATCTAAAGATATCAGTGCTGGCTCTAATTCCCATCCCTAGGCACAACAAGTGCAATAACAAAACCCAACATACCTTCACATGTCAGTAGGAAGTATTCCAGATTGTGACTGAAGGATGCACTGAAATAAGTACAGTTTTCAATCAGATCACAAGACAGACACCGTCTGTTGAAGTTTCCATTTGTGCTTGCGCTGAAAAAGTTAATACAAGTCCATGAAGGTCACTGAGCAAATGTTATCTGGAAGCAACATTACTTGAACTTTACTGTAATGTACAACAAGAACGTAAATATAATGTGTCCAACATTATTAAGAGACAGAGCATTTCCATCTGGTTGGGTTTGAATAGCAGTAATGGCTTTTTTTTTGCCTGAATGGAGAATATATAACAGGATACTGATGTCTTTTTTTGCAAGGTCAGGTGGTTATGAAGGAATGTATAGTTTTTAGAAGAAAATTGTGGTTGCAATTCCACAAGAGGAAATCCTAATTTGGTGAATGAAGGCATGAAAAATTGGAGCAGGATTTCTACACCTACTTACAGAATAAAGAGCTGGAATTGTTTTCTTTAAGTTTCTTACTAGTTGCCTCACTGGTCTGATTTCCTAGCAGCTGCCTCAGAGACCAAAGCCTTTTTTGGGGGGTTGAATAGTTGGTCTTATAACATCCAGGTAGAAAGGAAAGATTGTATTTAGGGATCTGGTTTTGAAGAAGGTAACATGGCCTGTCCATATGCTCAGAAGTGCTTTGTAAGAATCTACTATATGTTGAAGAACGGATTATAGATTATTAGCAAATATTAATGAATAACATTTTGCACTGCTATAGCATTTATTATTATTTATAGGTAATATTAACTAGTAGATCTTTCCAGTATTACTGCAAAGCAGATGAGTGTTTTTTGCTACCATTTAAAGGTAGAAAGAGATGAGACTGAGCAACCTGTTTAGGGCCACTGACTGAACTGATTAGTTCTTGGGTTCTTGTTCAGGCTCAGATCATGTCTCTTTCTTAAATCGTGTTTAAAGCTGCTAAATCAGACACAAAAAGGAAAAAAAAAATACAAACAGATCTTCATCTGATATAAGCTGTCAGAGCTCCAGTGGAGCCCTGTCAATGAACATATGCCAAGGTTGCTGTTGAGCTGACACCCTTGGGCTGGGTCGAGAGACAGTCAAACTACCCAGTGCAGGAAATCAAATACCTGATGTGAGGCCAAAATCACTGTGCAATCAAAGTAAGGTCAAGGACGTTGACATTTTGGGCATCTCTTTCCCTGTTGCCTATGTGGGGAAGTGAGGTTGATGAAGCACCAGGGTGAGCTGCATGCCAAGATGAGTGAGGGGTAGGAAGCACTTTGACTCATGCCAGCAGCTCTTGAGCAGCTGTGCCTGGACTCGGCTTTTAAAATGAGATTTTCTTCCCATTTCAATAGAAATGAATGGTCAATGTGATTTTGATTTTTTTTTTTTTTCTTCAAGAAAATAAACACTGAGCTGAGCTACTCTCAAAAAAACTGTGGGATGCAGTGAAAGGAAAAAAATTACTGAATTACACGTAATTTAGTTTGCTCTAGTTTCCTTCCCACTGAGGGAAAAAAGGTACGACATCATGCGAGAGAAGGAAAACATACTGACTGTCCCTTATCAACTGATATTATCACCGGCTCTGCCCTTTGTTGCAGATGCTGAGATGACAGCAAGGTGATCGAGAAGAAAACAGGACAAATGGAATAACGATTCTAAAATGATTGTTTAAAAGTTTGGGTTTCCTCCCCTTTGCAATTTGTTCCCACAATACTTTGTAATAGCTACACTACCAATCGCTTACTATAAACTAGCCTTTTACTCATCATACAGTTAGAGGATATAGTAAAGTCACCTGGAATTGCAGAAAAACATTTGCAAACATAACATATTGTTATTTCTTTTCAATTTTGTGAAGAGATGAGGTACTATCAAATTTCCGTGAAAATAGCTATCTAGAAGTATAAAAAGAGTTTATACCATTAATTTATGTAACTCAGAATTATTTCAAGTGTTAAGCAGTTCTGCTGAAAGTTTTGTGACAGTTTATAAATCTTGCGACCAATTTAAAATTTGCAAGTGGGAAAATTGGTAAATGTAAAACATTTCCAAATGTCAAACATTTTGTTCATTATTTTTATGCTGTTCTGCCTCTTCCAGTGACACATTTGCCATTAAACACAAACACAGAAGAACCTGTTTGTATTGCAATTGCTTATGCAATAATTCGTGTAAGACTGAAAAAATGGGAAATTCTGTATGTGAAGTTAGTAAAACACATACCTGTATAAATGTCGCCTTCTTGGCAAATCTTCTGTGCTGTGGAAATAACTGAGAAAAAAAAAATCAAAAGCCAATTGAATCATTAGAAGGGTGTTTATGAGTATCTCATAGAACATCTTCATTCACATCATCATATTCCTGATCTTGTAAAGGCAATGAAAATTTAAACTGAATTAGAAAAAATTACAGAGGGACAGATCACTGCAGAGGCTAAAGCAAGAATGTTGTAGGCTGCACTGCAGTTAAAACAAGCATGGAAATGTTTGGGTCCTAGACTGCTCATGTCAGCAAAGAAAAAAGATCAAGTGATTAATTGAAAGACCTTCACATTTTTACCTCAGGATTTATAGTTCAGAATTTCCTTTAAACACCTTTTTTTTCTCTAGAACCAGTTTTTACTTCTCTGACCACTTTTTATTCTTTGCCCGGAGAGACAGCTAACCAAGGTCTGTTGCAAAACCCACTGAAACATCCTCTTTGAAAAAGGGAATTGGACTTCCAGCGATGACAGACAATGAAGCTGAAGAATACTTCATTGCCCTTGTTTTGTGCTGAGACTGGTGAACTCCTTTTCTGGCTGAACAGCGAAAGCCCTGTTGTGCGGTGAGGGCTTCTGAAGGTAACAGAGAGGTGTTGCTGGAGGAGGCCAACCTCAGTCCAAAGTCCAGGGTCCAGATTGATCCCCCAGATGCATTTCATGAGAATAATGACAGAACACAAGAGCAAACATAACATCCATGGGGTGAACAACGTCAAGCAGGATATTCAGCCCTGCCAATCTGTTTCCAACAAGCTGCCCTTGCCTAGATGTACATTTTGATTGCACAAATTGTACATGGTATTTTTTGCTTGACTGGCCAGCTAGAAGGCAAATAAGATCTCGGTGCTAGTTTGCTACTTAACTCTGCCAAGTGCTAAAGACCTTTATAACTTACTGAAGTTATTGGTAATTGAAGGCATTTAAAACCCTGAAGGAGCCTCGTGCTGTTAATGATCATTCAAAGTTTACCATATTCCAGAGGCTTTTTGCTCAGCTGTTCAATGACCTTAAGAAACTGATAGGTGAGGGCCATGTATCCACCTGGAACTTTGCCTGGAAAGGAATCTATATGGTATTTGATTCCAGAAAGACTTCCAAACATTTTCTCGTGTAATTTCTTGAAATGTATTTTAAAAAGTAAACATTTACATAGGTTGTTTTACAAGCATAAAGGGCAAGTGTGAAGAAGGTTTTTTTTTTTTTGTATTCTAATTAAATACTTTTTTTTCTAATGCATTGATATTTTTGCAGGTCAATAAAGGATTCTTTCTAAACCTGACTATCTAGGTAGTCAATGAAAATAGGCTTTTATTCCAGTGGTTAATATCAGAAGTTGCAGCAGGAGAAATCATTCCTCTGCACAAATGTATTTAATAGTCACAGAAAGAGGTTGAACTATACAGAGAAAATCAAAATAAAACAAAATATATGTAATGGTGTAAGAGGTTAAGCCAAAATGGAGACAGCTTCTCCTGCTGACTTATCTCCATCTCCTTATGCTCATACATCTCGGATGCATACATACCATTGTAACTAACCCCACAGTCCAGGGCTAAACAAAGGAAAACTGATTTGTCAGACCAAAGTTTACTTACATTTTATGCCTCTTTTCATCATATGCCAATATCTTTGTCACATCCCAATCACCAGATGTAATAGACTGTAAATTGTCGCTGCTACTGTTGGGCTGCCAGAAAGAAAAGAGAATTAAATGTCTTGATTCTTAAAAGACAATATATGAGCAAAGCTTTTTTTTCTGAAAAATGGAGCTCTTTTGACTCCATTGCCTATTAAAAATAAACCATGCATCTTCAATTTTCACCCCTCCCCCTGATATTTCTGTGAATCTGCAGGCATAGAAATAATAGACAGTTAGAATCATCTTAACCATAACTCCACTGAAGATAATGGGATGAATTCAGCACAGAATAGCTTTAAGCCCCTTCCTCTAATCCAACGTACCCACAAGCTTCTGATTAATCCTTTATGGCAGTGCAAGGATTTACTTATTTACATACAACTAAGGCGGCATTAAAAAAACAAAACAAAGTAATGAAATTGTCTGGAAAGAGGCAGTTGGTTGGCCGTTTTCTTCTCTCATTTGGAAATTTATGTTATCTTATACTCAATAAAACATCACTGAAGTTTTTCTTTTATGCACAAGATCCACATTCTGCATTTGCACCTTCTATTCTCACTGGTACGAGCACAGGTACTACTTTTTATTGCTTTCTGCCTCAGGTGAGACCCAAAGCAGCAGCAGTGAGTCACCTGTGATGACGACATAGCGATGTGGTAGAACTTCCCACGTCCTCCCTGGGGAATGGCTCGGACAAAGAAAAACTTCCGACCGTCCTTGGAAAAAATCGGTTCTTCATTCTGTAAGCAGCAAATTTAAGAGTTGTATTACTGTTAATTTACTGTATTTAAAATTGCTCAGAACTGCAAAGCCCTGTGAAATTAATTCACAGCAAAATACAGAGTACTTTTCAACATCAACCTGAGGCAAACAAAAAACCCACTGAAAACTGAAGAAAGTTTTGAAGATTATTGCTTCTTGCTCTCAGGAAAGCAGACACCTTTCAGCTGTGGGAAGACAGGGAGACAGGCAGCAAAGAAAGTTCCTTGGCTATAAGTCAGTTCCCATTTGCAAAGCAAAAAGTACACATATACAGCTGACTGCTCAGGGCAGTTGGAATAAAGCCTTCAGAAATGGTTTGAATGTTGCTGGCACAAGTATGACAAACCCTGTCTACTCTGCTGGAAGAACTGATCCATTCCTCTCCTTGAGGAAACACAACTAACATCATCTAACTGCTGCCTTTTACTACTCTCTTACGAATGCTTATTTCACTGAATTATTTATGAAGAGGAGAATATCTTGCAAAACTGTCTTTGACACAGAGCTCCCAGGTGAACATGTTGATTGACTTCTATTGGGTTACTAGAACTTTCAACCAGAGATAGAAGAGACTCAGCAGAAGGAAACCAAACACCACATATGGCAAGCAAGCATTTCCTGGAAGGGTCTTTGTCTTCATTTTGTACAGGAACCCTGAGGCACATGGGAAGTCTCCACTGCAGGAGATGGTTGAACAGCAGATTACAAGAGAAAGCAGAAGGATTGTCCATATGGTGTGACACAGTAGCACTGTGCCAAGGGAACTGACTAGATGAAGCTCCTCTACTCTGAATCTTGAATAGTTGGGTCTAAAACAAGAGATGAACCTCTACTGGACCTCTCAGGCTTTTCTGGGGACTGGCTGAGCCCTGCTTTCCCTGGCCTAGCTCCACAGATCCTTCTTCTTCAAGGGCAGTCAACAGGGAAACTGTTGCTCAGACTCTTCTGGGTCCTCCTTTGGTTCAGCGTTAATCAAATACTCTGGCTTTCTGCTTGGCACGTGTCAAGATAACACACTGAACCAGCAAGAACTTGATTGCACAGGGAGACTTATGGTTAATGCCAGCACCTACAACAAAGAAATAAATATTTTTGTTTCTCATAAGCTAACACATTATTCTTACAGTATTCTCCTTTACTCCCGGTTCTTTACTGATTAATTCTTTTCCACTATTTATCAGATTTATCAACACTGTATTAGGTGATCAAACTGTTTGTTTTTCCTTTTATTTTCCTCTGATTAGGTTTTCAGTATATTTTAAAATATGCCCATTTACAGCTTGTTGCAGCTCTGTGGAATAATGGTTTGTTTCTGGCATTGTTCTGGAACCTGAAACATAAAACTCTTTATTATTTTCAAATATCTTTCATGGCAGGAGAAACCTCATTGAAAAACAAGTGCGAGAACTTGGGCAAACCTTCTGCTCAACAGGTTTTCCTTTACTGAGGTAAACAGCAATGAGTTCACTCTACATTTCTATATCTATGCCTACTTCATTATATATTCCAGGATTATTTCTTTGACAGTGACAGCAGACATTGTGAAGATTAGTTTGAGGTTCAGTCAGAGTTATAGGGGAAGGAGGTACATGGCACAGACAACAGATGTGAGGTTTTAGCACTCGGCTGATGTTATGAGACATCCTGTATGCTCCTGTTGCTGGAAAGACAGCGCATTAATAAAACCAGAACTTTGTTTAAGATCTTCACAGAGATGGTGATTTATTCTGGATGGCAAATGTGGGGGGACGTCAGGCTGAAAGGCCTTTGGAACAGGATTTTATACTGTAGGGAGCTACACTGGGCATGTAATTAAAATATTCTGCATGTGATACAAACAGTTTGAGCCTTTTGTTGACTATTATCAGTGGCAGTCCAGTGAAGTTCTCACTGACTGGAAAAGTGGAGACATAACCACCACTTTTAAAAAAGGAAAAAAGGAAGACCCAGTAAACTACAGGTGAGTCAGTCTCACCTCTGTGTCTGGAAAGATCATGGAGCAGATCCTCCTGGACTCTTCATTTAAGCATGAAAGACACTGTAGCCAAAACCTGCTTTGTTAGCACTGGCAGATGAATTTGAGTATCTGAATTATGGGACTCTGTGTCCTATTTCTGCTGCATCCTTTATCTTTAGAGTAACATTAGGTCAGTTATGGGTTGTTACATGACAAAAGGGCTTTACAGGGTGAAAAAGCCAGTCTTATTCGTAAGGTTCTCTGAACTCTGTTTTTATTTTTAAAATCTCATTTCATATCACCTACATGTAAGAATCATTACTGGGTTATCATGCTGTCAGGATTAAGGTAAGACAGCCGTAAAAGCAAAATGGTGTGAGGTTTTCAACATCTCAACCTTTAGACAGAGAAAAAGTCTTTAGATCCAGACTGAGGTGATCTGAAACACTAGGGAAATAGGAGGACTGAAAAGAAAAATGCAGCCCAAAGGAACTGCTATAAGAGGAGGCCAGCCAGCCCATGCAGGCAGTTCTGGAGGTTTTATGTCCCTAAACAATTTTGTAGTAATCTCCTGGTCCTGCCAATGTCAATGTCAAAGCCTATGGCTTTTGGTGGAGTTGGAATTGTACCCTCTTTTATAATTCAATTTGTTCAGGCCACACTCACAATTAAATAAATAAACCAATTAAAATGCCAGTAAAGTTTATCTTCAGCAGCTGCTCAGAAATTGTCTTATTTCTCCCTTGCTGACTCATTGTCTGTGTATGACCATTACTGACACTATGGAAAATAGCTTCTTCACAAAAATTGAAATGAAAATGTTTACAAAATTGTTTACTGTTTCAAATAATCTGTATATTTAAGCAAAAGTATGAATAAAGTTCAGTCTGGCTCTTATGCTCAGAACTGCACAAACAAGTATATAAATAAAAGCAGTATAAACTTCCAAGGTCCCTAGGAAATTCTGGTGAACATGTGCCTGTTTTTATTTGTGCAAAAGGTTTGAAAACACTGGCCATATCATCTGACAAGGAGTGACAGATACTTTCTAGCAAAACCTGTGTAAATATTGTATATTTCTCATTATACTTTGAGTAATTTATCCTATTTTTCAGCTACACAGTCACAGCAATATTTATCATTGCCTATGTTGGAGAGAGGCTCTCCATGATATCACACTTGAATAAAATTCTTTCATGAACTTAGTCTCAGAAGGGACATCATTTACTATGACCTTCCATACACAGACTATTAAATGTCACTGAGTTACCAAACTACTATAGCAACAAAATTCAAATTCATGGGTCACATGCCCTATCTCAGAACTTTCAGTAGTTTAGGCAGATGAAAAAAAGCCAACCCTGTCATCCTTGGAGACTCCCTCATGTCCCTGGTGAGTATCTTCTGATATTGATGTTTTTCTCTCCTCATCTCCTGCTCCCAGCCTACTGTAAAATTTGCCCCTATTTCAGAAAGACCAGATGCACTTAAATGCCCAAGAAAAAGGTAAAGCTCCTGTATGATTTTCAAACCAGGTGCCTGGAGTACTTCGAAGAATTATTTTAAAGAATGAGGCAAGCAGTTAGATTCCTTGGTCCTACTGATTTAAAATTGGGGTACTTCTCAAAAGGAGTTCTGGTCAATGGAGCATAAAGAACAAGTTGGTCAATCAGGCGGTGGGTGTCTTCTTCAAGGTGGGCTGAATCATGCTCAAGGTCCATTGACCGTGTGACCATACTGGCTGTCTCCAGAGGGGAAGTGGGCACCTGGCATATACTTACATTAAAATGTCTCAACCAAGGAGTCTTCATCCTGAGCTGAGTCACACTTCTGAGCTCCTTCAGTAGCTGCCTAATGGGCAATTCATCTCCTCCTTAAAGAGGTCAGGGGACTTGCACTAGCATTTAACATTTTCACATCATTCTCATAGTCAGACACACATACCATTGAAATAACTTTCCAGTTATCTAGATTAATGTGTCATAGAGCAAAAGGTAAATATAGAAAATACAATTATTCTAGTAATCATATATTCAATCAAAACTATAATTTTAAGTAATTTTGTTGTCAGAAATATAGGCAAAAGAGCTCTGTAATTCTTCAGAAGCTTACAAACGCTTTTGAAGAGTACTATCAAATGTCTCCAAAGTTCACAGCAAATGCTATCTTAGTTTAGTACTGAGATATCTGACTCATTTGGCTGTAAAGAGCATCTTTGTCTAATCTCAAACTAAATATATGATGCAGTAAAACAAACTATATTTCCCTGAAGGAGGCCTGTTAGACTGACAGATCATTTACTGCAGTTACTCTGGACAAAGCACCATCTTTTAATGCCTGTCCATGCAGTAGGTAAATGGCGAAAGAACAGCAGCAGTGTAAAAACACAAGTTCTACTCTACTATGTTAACAGAGGTCCCAGTAAATAGCAGTGAAAGGATTAAAACTATTTTTGGATTTATAAAATAAGTGAATCCTGTGAAGTACTTTTATGGGCAATTTAAGATACAGAATATGGGCAATTTAATTTCCTCTTGCCTTGGCTTGTCTTTGAGGCTTTTGTTTTCTACTCAAGCCAACACTGTCCTTATGAACGTAAGGAATAATTCAACAGCATTTTCACTCTATACCTGAGTATACCAGCAAAAGATTATTTGAAATGCTCAGAGCATAAAATCTATTTCTTCTGTAAAATCATTTTTTATCTGGATCAGACTAGCCCATTGCTGTAGAACAGCCACTGGAACACAGGAGATCATTGTTCTTGCTGTGAACTGATGTACTGCAGTTTCTACAGGTTCTTGGATCCTTTGAACAAGCTGTGACAAAAATGTGAAATGCTTTAAATCTAGACTTAGAAAAATATAGTACAAGATCTTTATCTGACATGCTGCTCCCTGTCTGGTGTTCTCATATCCTGTGAAAAACAGTTCAGTGTTGTGGCTGAATTGATATCAGCAGCTTCTCTCTAAAGAACAGCTTAATCAAATCTGAGGTCACTTCACAAACTGACTGCTGGGAAAGAAGTATTATAAATGATCTTCCAGAGATTTACATGCTGGAAATCTAGAGGTTTTATATAGACATATGTTGAAAAAAAAAAACGTTTCCTGAAAAAAAAAAAAAAAAAAAAAAGGAAAATCCCATAAATTAAAACTTCCTGGGTGTTTAAATTTTCTATTCTATTTTCTATTTTATTCTATTTTTTTTTCAGGGTTTGTTTTCATCTTTGTTTTATTTCATTTGGGGGATGGGAGCACATAGCCATACAATGTAATAGTACTATGCACAAGTTATGGTGTCAGAAGAGTTATGTGACTCAATTGTCTGTTAAAACAGGGTATTAAACTGCATCAGGTAGTTTCTCAGCATTCTGTGTTTCATGTAAGATCTCATTGTTTTAATTGCCCCATCAACACTTTATTTTTTACCTTTCTTACATATGAAAACAGCTGCAGAGTAACATAGATAATTTTGTCAAATTTAGCTTAAATGACTTAAAAGTCCTATCTGCATGATTTTGTCTCTAAATGGACATAGGCACTTTTAATAAAACGACCTTTGATTTTCTGTTTTCAAAGTGGACTTCCTTCCTGTCTAGAACACCAGAAAAAAACCACCATACTGCTTAAAATCATCGTGAGTCTCAACATGTGGCGTGAAGGACTACCCCTGAGGCTGGCAAGTCTCACACAGATACTATCAGTGGGTGAATTTCCACCAGCATCAGCTTTTCGCCTCTTTTAAATCCAAACAAATTGCAGGCAATGAACTGTGGGACCTACCAGAGAAGATGGTATCTTCAATAAGAACTTGTTTATTATTGGGAAACTGTTTTCTATAATAGAAACCATGTCATCTTCCAAGTATCATTCTCAGGTCTGGAAATCAGTTTTTCTCTTTGGGGGAAGAACAAATAAAGAAAAAAATGTACCAACAACTTGACTGCAAAGAGAAGATCATTGTTACCTGTCTGTGCAGCCAGCCTTCACTTTCATCTTCATGTTTCTAAAACAAAACAAGATCATTAGATACCATACTTTGTGCGTGTTACATTTTACTTATCAGTGCAGGAAGCAGTTGGATTTAATCTGAAAAGTTGTGCAGAAGCACAAAGAAACTGCTTAAATATGTGCTTCAGGAGTATAATCCAGTGACTGCTCTCCTTGTCTTTTCTCTCTGATAAATAAGCATGCACTCATTCAGGAAATAATTTTATTCATACAGAATCAACACATAAATCCACAAGATACATTATTCCCCGAAGAAATAAAGCTTGTTAAGAAGCAAATAAAGGTTGAAATAAAAGTTGTTAAGAAAAGACTCTGCACTGTGCTCTATGCATTCTATTACATTATTTTTTTCAAGGGATAGATACATCAGAACACTTTTCTACTGTGGAAACACCTATATCAGTCTAAAAGATGGTATCTGCTAATACTTACACAGGTTATATCAGTATGCCCTTTACATTAGTACGTCTATAGAAGATATTCATTAACTAAAATAAAATTGTAGGTAGACAAGCATAAGCATGAGCCATTTTTAATGCCACAAAATAAATATAATGTTATGAAACTAGAATGTTGCAAAGATATTCAGCTTACAAATTGATGTGTGCGTGCTTGTGCACGTATACAGTAAATTCAAGACAAGTAGCCACTCTCTCACACACACATGCTCACACACAGAGTGTGTGCAGGGATATACTGTTCCTGGCTTTTTAGAAGGTGTAAAAAAAAAAAAAAAAAAAAGTAAATATTTCAAACATTGCCTATATTCTGTGTCTGCCTAAATAAATGAGTGCCAGCTGACTGGTAAGATAACTGAAGTATTTTCTGCTTGCATGGATTATGGAAACTGATGGCGCACAACCATTTGGCTCATCTCTCCTACCTTTGTGCAGACTCCTGTGGTGGCATCGCAGAGCGTCAGGATAGACACGTTCTGGGCCCTGTTCAGCCAGTTCACGGCCACCTTGGTGCTGGTTGCCCATTTCACCATGGTTATGTAGTAGTCCCTGCAAACACAGACATACATAAAACAAACCACAACACTGACATTCTCATGAATTGCCACATGGCAGAGCAGTCTGAGGCTGCTGCAGGCAAACGGTCCAGGAGAGATCTCTGGATATTAGAACGCTGCGTCTTGATGACTCTAGGCTTCCTTACATACAGATTTCAACCCGTAAAAATGACATTTTTAGGACTGTGCAGGTGCTTTATCTGCCACTTCTGAAAGTCATTTTCAAAGAAGAGACAAATGCATAGATAAAGAATTTTTTGAGCTATTCAGTCTTCCAAGAAGGACTGACATGCCTGGAGCTACAAATTTATGCACAGGTGGAAAAGAAATTGAAAACAATTTCCATTCTGAGCACACTAACCAGCTGACTCAGACCCACCACTGCCAATGGTTGGATTCTTTATGCTTATGAAGAGTTAATGGCCTCTAAATATGCCTACTACACACCAAAATATCCATGAGTGTTGCATTAAAAGGAAAATAGCAAGAAGGTTAGAGTTTAGAGAGACACAGGGTTTCTGCAAAGCAGTTGCAGCTTGTTCCCATAAAGACATCAGCAGAGATGTGACAGTTTACATCAGCAAAACCACCATCCCATACTCCCTGTACCATCCTTTATTGCTGGACATATTCAGGCTGTGATAATACTTGGAGTAAATCACCAGTGTGGGCTGCACAGTCCTGTAATCAATATTGTGCCCTAGAAAACATAGAAAAAGCCCTGTGCCATAGTGAGCAATGGAACCACCTAGGCTGGGCTGGAAAATACAAAGGGGCACAAATGAATACACCAATGGTCGCCTTCTCAGAGCCAGTCTGCAGCAGTACTCACACACGTCCACCTCTGCAGCAATTCAGGGCTTCACCACTTTGTCTGTAGGGTAAAACTCTGGCTGAGATGACAAAGCTGGTGATGTTATAATATACTGCTGGGCTATGTGGGCCAAAGACATCCTTAAATTATAATATGACTTCTCACAGCATATGGTGTATAAAAAATTTATTAGTTCATTTGTTTGCTATAAAATATGTATAAGGAATTGTTGCTCTCATTGGAATTAATGTGCTGTGTCACTGGAGAGTACTTTGTGTTCTGGCAAGTGCTCCTGCATATACTGAAGAGAAAGGGTAAAAGCAACAAAGGCCCGTTTGTCTCGCAAAATAACAAGTTGGAAATTGATTTTGTAGTTTTCAGTAATATTTAGTGCTTGAATTTGGCTGGGGAGAAATAACAAAAGACCTCAATGATTGTATCCACTGCACTGGAGGGAAAGATACTTCCAGGTGAGACAACAGCAGTCAGAAAATTCAGTGCCTGAAATAAAATCATAATTTTACACTTTATCAGCAACATCATAGGCCCTAAAAGGAAAAAACCAACAAAGCAAAATTAAACTGTATAATAATCTCTTCTTTCTCTCCAAAATTGGCTAAGCAGATTCAGTTTCCCCAGAAAAGGAATGTGAATTTAGTATATATTGTGGCTTGGAGCATTCTTTCCATAAATTCAATTTAAAGTTTGAAGGACATATATTCAGTTTTTACATCCCTCTCACTGTTTGAACACGGGAGCCACAGTTTTTTCTCAGGAACTTTTAATTATTATTTTAGGTCAAACATTATCTTCCTTGCCACTCCAGAGATGGGCATGGAATCTCAATTTCTCACTGAAGCCTCTCTCAGCCATAAAGCCCACAGATACCCCAGCTAGCAGCCAACTGCACATACTTGTATAGCTATTATTCTAGTTTATGAGTAGCGTGGAGTCTTTAATTTACTTCACTTCACATCTCTTCTGTAGGGCAACCAAGTTTTATGCTTCCCATTTCGCACAGGAAAATGAGACAATAAGGTGTGATTCATCTCAGTTAATTTTAAACATCTGCAGCTCCAGCAGCTGCACTGGTTGAGCAGCCAGTGGAGAGAAACAGGGAGTCAGTGCATTTTCCAAGCACTCTTTCCCTGATCTGTCCCAGATTTTATACAGAGCTGATTTAAGGAGAACCTATTTCTCCTCATAGACCAAAATCTCAAGCAGCAGGTACCCAACCACTTCATTTGTAGACACCTGCATCAGAGCAGGTTACACCCTCCCAAAGGAAAGGAGTAACTTGCCTGTGCCCCTTCGGGAAGGGTGCAGTTATGCGGAGCTTTGTGATGTATTTCCCCACCCCAGTAAGACATTGGTGGTTGGGTTTGTAATCATCTGAGACTGGTTATTGTGCAGCATCCTTATTCATACCCTAACTTTACCTGTCTCTTTTCTGGAGGAATGAATCTAAAATATGAGTACCTATATTGTTGTATAACGACAGTAATAAAGCCATAAACACCACGAAGAACAGACAATAATATATTATGTGGCCAAGTGACAGGGAGCAGCCCAGCCCATGGTCCCTGGGGCACAGCTGGATCCTGCCTCTGATCCAGATTTGAGTTGTCTGAGTTTCTCCATTATTTATTTGTTTATGACCTATGCAAGGGCCAGTGACTGTTTCTGCACTTAGGGGAGACAACATCTTTCTTTAATTTGCCACCTGGGAGGCAGATATGATAAGAGAAATAAGTTGAATCATGGTCCAATTCTGACCACCTGCTGATATAACTCTTCGGGTCCAATGGTTTTCACCAAAATAAAAGATGTTTGTTAGGCATTAAGTGTTATAATATTTTTTTTTCCCTGCAATTTCCAGCCCTTCTCTTCACTTTCTTTTTCTCACAGAAAAGCAAGGCATTGGAGAAAATTTGGCAAAAATGCTCTGAAAGACAGATTTTTTAAAAGGAAAAAAATAACAAAATTGTATGTTTTTCCCCAAAATATTTTTTCCATCATCAGATTTAGCTTTTTTTTTTTTTTTTTAATGAGAAATTCTGTGGAAAATTTCTGACTTCCTCTAATTCTGAAAGAAAAAAGACTCTGGCATATCTCCACTTTATTCTCAGCTTTATTAATTGTACTAAACCACTTTGTTCCAGATAAAAAGAACACCAAGAAGTACCGCTCTGCCCATATATCATCTGCGTGAACAGATTGAGCACACTGAAATGCTTCAGATAGGCCTGCTCTGCTTGAAGATCCTTATCACCAGCTTCCCCTGCTTCTTCGAAACTCCCTTCTGTAACTAACTATACGGTACATCCCTCTTGTCTATTTTAATGAAATGTTATCACACTAATCCTCTTATTTCAGAAAACATATGCATAATGAAAATGCACCCCTATTGCTCTAGCAGCACTACTTATATTGTGCCCTAGGGATCGAAATTGGTATGGTTTTGATGAAATAAAGAGAGACTAATTAATTATGATATATTTTGCATCATTTTACAATATTGATTGCAACCAAATAAATTACAGCCACCCATAACCACATAGGACAAATTTATTAACAACACTTGGATCCTGCAGTCTGAAGTTATTACTATAATTAAAACGTTTTTGAGTGTCTCTGTTTACAGAGTACGCTAGCAACAGAAAAATGATATTGTCCAGGAGCCGCAGTTCTGACACTGTGATTGGGATATTGTGGTGGGGATACTGTGATCCTGAATTGCTTCCTGCTGTAAACATATCTGAAGTTGTTTTTTTTTGAAAGGCACGTGCAGTTATGCCCATCTGGTTTGGTCACAGGTCATACATCTTTTGCTGCATAAATGGATTTAGAGTATTTCAGAGTTATTCAGTGAAAACATGTTCTGAGGCTGACACCAGCTTTCCTAGCAGAGGAAGGCAACTCCCACCATAAATAACTCCACTGGTTAGTATCCCCTCATCAGATGACTACAGAGCCTATCCACAGGCCTTATATATTTACCATGTATAATGAAGAGCACCCCTGAACCCTCCCCTGCCCTCCAAGCAGCCCTGTTTCATTAGCTCTGTGCTCTACCGCTATCTTTATTTGCACTGGAATTACAGATCCAACAATCTAATTTAGCAATTGGTAAAAAAAAAAAGGTGAGCACGCATGTTGGTTGTTGGATGCTCCGACAAGAAAAAGTGATATGCTGGAAGGATTATCTTGCAGCATCACATTTGGAGGGGTCACTATGGGTCCTCTGGATGTAGAAGCAGTCTGATTTCTCCTGGCCTGCTATAAAGATAATTAAAGTTTAAATCAAAGTTACTGAAATCTGAATTTGGATTCTGAGCTTTGCAAGGAGGAATGCCATGCTTTACCTAAAGCTGCTTCTCTCATGAACGTGATCTTTCTTTCAAGTGCTCACAGATGCATAAATATTAACTGAAGTGTTGACCACATGCTGAAGTCGACACCAAACTTTTAGTCTTGCTGAACGCAGACTTAAGCACTTTCTTAATTAGAAATGGGTGTCTAAGTAGTTGGCTGAATTGCAGGCCAACTTCTAAATTACACTTGCCCTAAAAACATCAGAGATCTTTCCTTTTCACTTTTAATGAAGATTGGGCAATGTATTTGCAGAATGTCTACCTGGTTACATTCCTATGTTCCCACCACAAAGCAGTGAGCTCGTGTTTGCTGCGGTATAGAGCTGTCCTGTTTCTGCTTCATGGTTTTTCATACAGGCTGCAGACAATATCCCTTCTACAATTTGGGAACATTCTGCCAAGTTCTCTAAAAGTAACCCTTCTCTGAAGTCAGTCTGTGTCACAGCAATTTCAAGTAAAAAAAGATAATGCCCTGTAAAATACATGTAAAAAGAAAAATAATTTGAAAAATTTTAGAGGAGATTTACACAAAATGAAACTCTTTGATAGTGGTAGAGAAAGGTACTGTAATATGATCTTGAAAAAAGTCAGAGTTTGATTTAAAACCCCAAGAGAATTGGGGTCCAGCATCCGAGGGTGAGAAAGCACCTACCTCATTCTCTGATCGTCTGGAGGAGTCATTTCCAGGTCATGGGTGGGTCCGTTAAGACCAATCACATGCAGAGATATAGTTGGGTTTTCCATTCCAGCCTAGATTTTTAAATGAGAATAAATGATTGTATCTATACAACACAGAATGGGTTTGGTTTATTACATCCCTATGGATTATAAAATGCATTCCCATTGTATAGCGTTATGGCCTGGACTGCTGCAGTTGTTCACAGGGAAACTGTGACTGTAGCGATGTGGCACAGAGGTGTGGAAAAGTCTGTAGGCACAAGCAAGGGGTAATTTTACTTAGGACACCTCCAGCCTTGGTAGAAAATGCTATTTTCTTGGCAACTAGAAATATTGCTATTTTATATATCTTTTGATAAAAGGTTGTTTAACAGGATGATGATAGAGTAAAATATTGATTCATTTTGTATTGTAGGAAAGGGCATCCCCTGCTGAATTATTGTTACTTTCCACAAAACCTGCATATATGTGGATATCTCTCCTGTTAAATTTGGACCAACATACAAGTTCTTAGCTAATCAATGCATAAAGTGAGACACGCAGAAGAAATGACTGCAGCATGGTACAGTCTTATATTGTCTTATAATAGAAAATTACGGCAATAACAGCAGCAGTGTATCACTACTGTAGAGAGCTGTGTCAGTGCTGTGCAGCCACTGCAGGACTGATGTACAGGCCCTGCAACAGGGAGAGATTGGCTCTTTGGTCTTCTCTGTCTGTCACTGTGTTCTTTGTAATGTCAGGCACAACGTATCTCCAAAACCAGACTACTTCTTCTAGACATTAGGCCACCTTGGATATTCTAAGGAATCCCAAACACTACTGCTTCTATGTAAAAGAAAATGTATCTAAATGTAGAAATGCTGGCTTCCAAACTCTCAGACACCTATCTAGCATGGAAATACAACTGTTTTTGTGTGGGTAAAAGCAAGAACTTTAAAATTTTATTTTAATTATATTTAGAATGACAAATACTCAAATCAGAAAACTGCAATTTTACAAATGCAACTACAGAGTAATGAAGACCACATTCACTGGTGAACAGCTGATCTTCCCTTAGATCTGTTTACTTTCATTGCTTATGAATGTGCACTATTACACAGTCTCCTGCCTGAGCCTACTGGAAAAAGAAATTTTTTTTTTTTTTGATAGAACAGCAGGACTGTTTGTTTTATTTTCCCTTACCTTTGGATAATGATATGTTTTAACAGTAGGGTAAAGGCTGCCAGTGTATACCGGTATCTCCATGGTAGGAACTCTGGAGGCATTAATTGTTGCATATGCTAACCTGGTGCCATCAGGAGACCACCAGTGAGCAATATGAGTCTTCAAGATCTCTTCTAATTAAAAAAAAAAAAAAAAAAGAACAGAAAAAAAGGGCTATTAGACATAAATTACTAGTTAGCAATAAATGAAACAGCGAAGATACGAAAATCCCAGTCTAATCACAGCACAGGGAAGATGCCACAGGAATATCAATTAAAAATACTCATTAAATTATGCCATATACACAAATGAACACAATTGATAACAATTACTCTAAATATATAGGTTATTAAGCATAATTATCTTGCTCAAGAAACATCAAATTATTCATATTAGTACACATATTCACGACAGCATAAAAGGCCTTGCTGCTCCTACTATGTGTCTTGTACATGAATATGTGAACATATATAGGTGCATGTGTTGGCAGAGCTTGGGTTCCTGCCTGCCCGATGGTAACACAACCGAGCCTTCCTTGGGGCTAACGGAGAGGTTTAGTTCTCCTCTATAGAGTTCACAGAGTCATACTAGACAGATAACAGTCAATTCAAACATCATTTATACTTAGATGCAAGTGCTTTAGCTACAATTTAAATCTTCCCAAGCACTGCTGCCAGTTAGGAATACACAAAAATAGCAATTTTCTATAAGTTACGCAGTTCTGGAACTTTGTGACACTTTAAAAGAAACCAGCCTTTAGAGTCTGTGGCCTGGATACCATCTTGACTATTATCCCCATTTCATTTTTTAACTTACTTTTGCAAAGCAATATTTCATAAATAGCCAGGGTCAGAGATTGATTCTTTTTACCACTGAATTTGGGGTTACCAGATCTGTTGGTGATTTGAATAATGCAGTTGCTATTGAAAACGTACTCAGAAAGATGCCAATACAAACCTGTCAGAGTGCAAGTATGTAAGGAGAAAACAAGATTGCCATTGTAAGAGATTATTTTGAAGACTGGCAGAATCTAATTCTCATTAAACACAAATTCAAAGAACTTTTAATTTATAATACTTTTTCTTATCTTTTAATATCATTCATTGCAAAGATGACTTCAGCTTATAGATATCCAGAGAAGCTATAAAATTCACTCTTTGTCCAAAGTGTCTCCAGTTACTGACATTTGGAAGACACTAACTTGGCTTTTTAAACCTCCCATTTTATGAAAGGCAATAATGTAATCCATTTTCATTAAGATGCTTAATATCATATGAGTCATTCCTATTTAAGCCATAGCAGAAGGGCTTGCATATGCTGTACAGATTGATGGGCAGAAAGACAGGTCCCATTACTTTAATGTGAGAATAAGAATTAAAGAGGCTGCAGAGTGTTCCTAAGCCTTCACTACTGAAGTCCTGCTGCACAAGTCCAAACAGCTCCAACATCTGCTGTTATCACTGGTCATTGCAAAAATGAGTGAGAATTTTCAGAGTTCAGACCCACCATGTTTATATACTATCCCTTGATTCAACCAGAATGTCCTTCTGGTCTGAAGAGTAGAAATTCACCAAAGACTTTTATTTCTTTTTAAAACTATTTTGGATGGGTGATCCTTAGAGAATAGACAGACAATTATCTTCATCATAGATCAAATGAACACCTTTGTTACTCCAGACATGCATATGGCGTGAGATAAAACTCAAGGTAACATTAGAAAGGGTGCAAGGAAAAATCACCCTCTATAGTTATGCCTGCTACAAATAAAAAATGAATACTTCATGGCAACATCTAAGTGAGGTTTTGGAAAGGTGTCTAGAAAGTTGCAAATATTGCATGGGAAAGCACATCTCTGGCAAATTTACTTTGCTGCATTGTCCCACCTGTTGTGTGCACATTTAAAAGACGCTGCTTTTGACTTTTATATTCATTGCTCTTTAAAGAGATAATTAAGAGTATAAAGGAAAATGAGTAAAAACCGGTTGGCAGATGAATCCTTGACATTTTAACATTAATTAGGAATGACTTTATTCAGCAAACATTTTCTTCAGGATCTCAGACTTAATGAAGCAGTTCTGCTGAAGGTCACATGCCAAGAAAGGTTTTAGTGCAGGTTTTGTGCTCCTCTGTTAATGAAATTTAATTGTGTGAACCTTTGCCTTGAAACAAAGCCAGGACCTTGCCATTATTAGAGAGATCAGTTAGTTTCAGCAAACCAAATAACATTCTTATACAATATAAAAGGCATTAATACCAGAAAGTTTCAGCTGAAAGTACAACACAATTTGCAGAAAAATTGTTCTTGAGGATACCATTCTTTGTGCTTGCATTTACCACATGCTCAGAAAATCAGTACTCCTGGGTCTTTCTAAAGTCAGTTCAGAACCCACTTCATATATATAAGAAACCAGGTTCTCCTTTAAAGACCAAAGCCCCCTTCCACATATACCTAATGGCCTCCTAGCTAAGAGTGTAAAGTGATAACTGATCAAAACTTTTGCTTTCTTCCTCAAAGCTTGCAGTCGCTGGGTGCTACAAGATGTAGGGATGCTGTAAGTGAGCTGCAGAGATTCCTCACAGTCAGTTGCTGGTGGCTCTGTGCCTCTTCCTTCTCCACAGCTTTGCTTGCTAGCCATCACACTGGGGTGTGCAAACCCTAAAACCAGCAAGAATGAACTGTGAAGTTGCCTTAACTGAACAAGGACTGTTCAGACTTGGGGACTGTGTGCAAGCACAGTGCCCGCAGCAAGCCAATGGCTTATTTCACATTAACACATCCAATATCGAACCACTCTGAAACCGCTGGAAGACCTTGCTTATAAGGAGTGACTCTTTGGTAAGAACACATATTAGCCAGCTGGTAATCCAATGAAATGTTGAAGCTCAAAAAGTGTTACAGTGTGTGTATTTTAATCCCTATTCTAGCTGAATAAGACTTGAATGATCATTTCAAAGCTTTGTGAAACAAAGAGTCTTCTAAGTTAACAGACCATCAGGAGGAGCATTTGAATTCCTAGGTTGGGGTATACTTAGTGACAATTGGGTATATATCCATTTAGAGACTTTAGTATCACTGGATGAGAACAGAAACCGGAGGCAATAACACAGGTGTGATGAGAGGAATCCTCCCTCAGTTAAATTAAAGGTTGCTGCATTCAGTGCCTTACATAGGCGGTAGTCTTTAGTATCAAGACCTGAACAACATCCAGAGTGAATCAGGGTGCCCTCAGCAGGAATGTCATCTCCTCAAAAGAACATGTTTCCTGATAGATGCTTTCCTGCTCATCATCAGGAAGCAGAAAGGAGAAATCCCTTGCTGTGGATCTCAGCTGTCAAGTGACAAGATGTGATGAACATGGGTTTGGATGTAGCATTTGGCTGTGATACCATAAAGGGAATCCCTGGGTGGACTGCACAGTTGATCAGAGATTGGATGGACATTTCTACTAGGTGTGTTATCCCAAACTAGCTCAGCATGTGTATAAAAGTAAAGGAAGTGTCTGCTTGTTTCAAACTTTGAGTTCATGCCAGCAATACTTGCAAGAGCAATGAAATGGGGACTTGTATCCTACTTTGGGTAACAAACTTCTCAACGAATGATATGATAAGATATGATGATATGATATGAAAGCCTTCACTAATGACTGACTGGGAAATCCCTTGGTAGCTTAGCAGTTTCTTTCAGCTTTTGAAGTCACCACAAATAATTTGTAATTTGCAATTGTGAGTTAACAGAAACAGAGACTTCACAAGACAAGGATGCTTGGACAGACCAGTCCTCTGACAGGTACCATCGCAATCCCTTTCTATCACTTCCAAAAAAAGAAGAATGAATATGATGTCAGGAGGAAAAACTAAGAAAAAGGAATAAAGAATTAATTTCAAATGAAGAAAAGTATTTGTTTTTCTGTCATCACAGTCAACAGAGGCATGTAGCTGTATTAGCTGTATAATTTACCCACAGAGGCTATTAATTTACAAGCATCAATTCCCCAGTTCTCATGTACAACGAAAACAGCTAGAGACACCACTCTGATCAGCCACTTTCCTTTGGCCACCCACATGCTTCTGCTCTGTGCAAGGCAGGATCCCACCACTCCACAGCCATCCTCCAGATGTGCCCATGCCCATGTGTCCATGTTGCCACCCCTCATTGGGAGTGCAGTGGTAATCAAACCAACACAGCCCCACTGGTGGGGGCACACAAAGCCCTTCTACAGGAGTGAGCAAGTCCGTGAACAACTGGTCCTAAGAGCTTTTCAACATTTAACTGCTAACATCTACTACTAAGAATGCCCAGGAAAAATATTACAATGAATGCAAAGAAACTAACCTTTTCTCTTCCAAGAAAAAATGACACATAAATGACACATGCAGCTTAACAAGAGATCTGAATGGTGTGTCCACCCTTGGTGAAGCTATACAGATGAGCTGCAGTTAAAAACTGCAGTGTCATTAACTTCAGAAAAGTAACTTCCTTTTATAACAGCTGATGAGGTATCCTTGGAGACTGAGCAGAAAGGGTTTTTTAACTGCATCTAGAAAAGTAGAGCCTTTCCGCATCATCTCAAGAGGTCAAAATAAGGGTGCAAAGGGTAGAGGCAATTATGAGATTTTACTTATTAAATAAATCAATTTCTTTTATACAATTAAAATTCTCTTCTTGTTCCAGACATTGCATTTTTTTCTTCAGTAGGAAATCAAAACAATATTATTACTGTTATGCCCACAGAAGACAAAGACAGATAATTAATAGCTTGATTCTCCTCTGAGTAGATATAGATACATGCACACACACACACACACACACATAGCTAGTTTTCTGTCAACAGATCCATTAATTTAATAATATTTTAATTTGTACATAAAGTATTATGCAAGATTTTGTCTGATAGAGGGAACTTCCTCTTCTATGTTATTTATTGCTGATGTGGTAAAGTGCTGCAATTCCAGGGATCATAATCAATGGTTTAGTTTGTGTGTTGTACTCTAGCTGATGCTCATATCATTAAGTATTTGGTGTGCTGAAGAAATTTTCCTGTTTTATTAAAACTGTTAATAAAAAGGAATTTTAAAGAAAATTAAATTAAAGCCTAACATAAAGTCCATGACTTACATTAGGAAAGAAATCTCA